CCCTTACTGAGGACGAACGGTCAGTCCTCAGTAAAGGGCTCACCTTTATCTCCCTCCGCCCACACATCAACGAATACCGGTCACGTTTGGACATTGAGCAGTTTTTCCACCGCCTCTGCATCCACGCTTAGTTCTTTAAGCCTAACCCTCCCTCTACTGACCCCTTCTCCCGCCTCCAACACACCCCCTCCTCCTGGACACCACCCCAAGGCCTCCTACCCTCCCTCGACCTCTTCATCTCCAACTGCCGTCGAGACATCAATTGCCTCAACCGCTCCACCCCTCTCACCCACTCCAACCTCTCCCCTACAGAACGTGCAGCCCTCCGCTCCCTCCACTCCAATCCCAACCTCACCATAAAACCAGCGGACAAGGGAGGTGCAGTTGTAGTATGGCGCACTGACCTCTACATTGCCGAGGCCAGACGCGAACTCTCCGACACCTCCTCCTACCGCCCCCTTGATCATGACCCCACCCCCGACCAACAAACCGTCATCTCCCAGACTATCCACAACCTCATCACCTCAGGTGACCTCCCACCCACAGCCTCCAACCTCATCGTTCCCCAACCCCGCACCGCCCGCTTCTATCTCCTTCCCAAAATCCACAAACCTGACTACCCTGGTCGACCCATTGACTCCACCTGCTCCTGCCCCACCGAACTTATCTCCACCTATCTCGACTCCATTTTCTCCCCCTTGATCCAGGAACTCCCTACCTACATCCATGACACCACCCACGCCCTCCACCTCCTCCAGAACTTCCAATTCCCCGATCCCCAACACCTCATCTTTACCATGGACGTCCAGTCCCTATACACCTACATTCCCCATACAGATGGCCTAAAGGCCTTCCGCTTCTTCCTGTCCCGCAGGCCCGACCAGTCCCCCTCCACTGACACCCTCATCCGCTTAGCCGAACTCGTCCTCGCCCTCAACAAATTCTCTTTCAATTCCTCCCACTTCCTACAGAAAAAGGGGGTGACAATGGGTACCCGCATGGGCCCAAGCTACGCCTGCCTCTTGGTAGGTTACGTGGAACAATCCCTCTTCCGTACTTACACTGGCCCTAAACCCCACCTCTTCCTCCGTTACATTGATAACTATATCGGCACCTCCTCGTATTCCCACGAGGAGCTTGAACAGTTCGTCCACTTCACTAACACCTTCCACCCCAACCTTGAGTTCACCTGGACCATCTCTAATACCTATCTCTCCTTCCTGGACCTCTCTGTCTCCATCTCTGGCAACCACCTAGAAACCGATATCCATTTCAAGCCCACCGACTCCCACAGCTACCTAGAATACACCTCCTCCCACCCACCTTCCTGCAAAAATGCCATCCCCTATTCCCAATTCCTTCGCCTCCACCGCAACTGCTCCCAGGATGAGGCATTCCACTCCTGTACATCTCAGATGTCCTCGTTTTTCAGGGACTGCAACTTCCCCCCGTCAGTGGTCGAGAACGCCTTCCACCGTGTCTCCCACATTTCCCGCAACTCATCCCTCACAGCCCCTCCCCGCAATAACAATCAAAACAGAATCCCCCTCGACCTCATGTACCACCCCACCAACCTCCGGATCCAACACATCATCCTCCGACACTTCCGCCATCTGCAATCCGACCCCACCACCAAAGACATTTTTCCCTCCCCATCCTTATCTGCTTTCCGGAGGGACCACTCTCTCCATGCCTCCCTTGTCCGCTCCACACTCCCCTTCAGCCCCACCACACCCGGCACTTTTCCCTGCAACCGCAGGAAGTGCTACACCTGCCCCTGCACCTCCCCCCTCACTCCCATCCCAGGCCCCAAGAAGACTTTCCACATCAAGCTAATGTGGTATACTGCATCCGCTGTTCCCGTTGTGGCCTCCTCTACATCGGGGAAACCAAGCGGAGGCTTGGGGACCGCTTTGCAGAACACCTACGCTCGGTTCGCACTAAACAACTGCACCTCCCAGTCGCAAACCATTTCAACTCCCCCTCCCGTTCCTCAGACGACATCCTGGGCCTCCTGCAGTGCCACAACGATGCTACCCGAAGGTTGCAGGAACAGCACCTCATATTCCGCTTGGGAACCCTGCAGCCCAATGGTATCAATGTGGACTTCACAAGCTTCAAAATCTCCCCTCCTCCTACTGCATCCCAAAACCAGCCCAGTTCGTCCCCGCCTCCCTAACCTGTCATTCCTCCCACCTATCCCCTCCTCCCACCTCAAGCCCCACCCCCATCTCCTACCTACTAATCTCATCCCGCCCCCTTGACCTGTCCGTCCTCCCTGGACTGACCTATCTCCTCCCTACCTCCCCACCTACACTCACCTTTACTGGCTCCATCCCCGCCTCTTTGACCTGTCTGTCTCCTCTCCACCTATCTTCTCCTCTATCCATCTTCTATCCACCTCCCCCTCTGTCCCTATTTATTTCAGAACCCCCTTCCCCTCCCCCATTTCTGAAGAAGGGTCTAGGCCCGAAACATCAGCCTTCCTGCTCCTCTGATGCTGCTAGGCCTGCCGTGTTCATCCAGCTCTACACCTTGTTATGTCAGAACCTCTGACAGTCCTGTTTATATCTGTCAGCCACAGCTCCCTGATTGGACCAGATTAACAGCCCCAATCAGGGAACTCATATTCTATGAGGTCCACCTGGCTGACTTCATTACAATCTTTACAGACACTTGGAGAGGTTAGAGTTAATTCAAGCAAATTAAATAAGATATACAAGAAAGAACTTATCATACAAGGGCTAGGAGACACAGATTTAGGATTTTTGTTTAGAGCCACAGAGAGAGTCTGAGGAAGAACTGTTTTACACAGTGAGTGGCAATGACACAGACTCACTGCCCACAAGGTTAGTGGATGCAGAAACAATGAATGACTTCTAAAGGAAATTGGATGGGCACTTTAAAAAAATCACATTACAGGAATATAGAAATCAAACAGTGGCTCCACTGCCAGCAGTGGGCTGAATAGACTCCTTCTGCGTTATTAATGACTCTGTAGTTTCAGCCATAATAATTGTTAAGCTAAAGTTAAATAGCTTCCAGTTGCAATAAAGCAAAACTATGGACTCAAAAATATAATTTCAATGCAAATCCTTTGCAAATTTATTATTTTTAAATATCCAAACAGAAGTGTGTTAAGATATTTGCCAATTGGAATAAAAATGTATTTTATATAGCAGATTATTTGGAGTTGGCCAAAATCAAGTCTCGAGACATCCATTTGCCTAAATCTTCACAATTAGATATTTTAGCTCCTGTTGCTTCCTTTGCTAGTTTCAAACATGGTCCCATTTTGAAAAACAGCAATGAACATTACCAGATGTCTTTACTTCCAACAATAAAAAAAATTGCAGATACCAGAAATTTGAAACAAAAACAGCGAATGCTAGAAGCATGCAGTGGGTCAGACAGAATTCTGGAAGGGGATAATTTTGATATGGATCTTTGTACAGAGAAACAGTACTTAAAAGACAGAAGAAGGGAATAAGGAAAGGAAGAAAAAGTCTTTATAATATTTCGTCCTCCTTGTTCTGTTCTTCTTTTACATGCTGTTAATCTGTAAGTTCCTCCACGTATGAATAAGAACCTATTCTCAAAGTTAACTTGGCTGCAAATTCCACTGATGCTGATTGACCTACTGTATGTTTGTAGTGGGTTTTTGTTCTGTCTCTGATATTCAGTCTGAAGATTTTCGAAAGAACTATGTTGTTCGGGTCTATTTTCTTTCAGAAATACAGAATCAGGCAAATAATAATGGATTCAGTAATGTATTATGCATAGAATCACAGAAGAGGTTCTATAAAAAAGTATATCAACCAGTTGTGGAAACTTGACTGAAGCTTTGACTGTAGCAAAAATACAGAAGAGGACCCTGGTGCAAGATGTGCTGAGGCTGGGAACCACACAGTCTACAGCAGGAACAAATATGTTTTGCTAGCAAAAAAGCTTCACAAAAAGTAGAAAGCTCAATCACAGGATAAACAAGAGAGATTTTCAATGCTTACTGGAAATGCATCCTCAGCCCCCTACTGTACTCCCTGTCCACCTATGACTGTGTTGCTAAATTCCAAACATTATCTACATGTTTGCTGATGACACCATCTCAGTGGCACCGATATCTAACAATGATGAGTCAAAATACAGAATGGATAGAGGGCTTGGTGACATGCTGCAATAAAAACAATCTCTCAACATTGGCAAAACTAAAGAACTGACCTTCGATTTCATAAATAAGCAAGGAGAACCCTCCCCCATCTACATCAATGGAACTGAGGCTGAGAGAGAGTGAAGAGCATTAAGTTCCTCAGAGGTACGATAACCAGCGACCTGTCCTGGACTTCCGACGTAGATGCGATAGTGAAGAAGGCACAACAATGCCTCTTCTTCCTCAGGTGGTTCAGGAAATTTGGCATGTCCATAAGGACCCTCACCAACTTCTACAGGTGCACCATAGATAGCATACTGTCTGGGTGCTCTGCCCAGGACCGCATGGACCAACAGAAGGTGGTGTGCACAGCCCAGACCATTACGGAAGCCAAACTTCTATGGATAGACTCCATTTACACAGCTTGCTGCCACAAAAAGGCTGCTAACATCATCAAAGACCCATCGCACCCCAGTAATGATCTCCTACAACCTCTTTTGTCAGGCAGAAGATACAGAAACCTGAACACACGCACAAGCAGGTTCAGGAACAGCTTCTTTCCGGCTGTTATCAGACTGTTGAATGGACTCTAGCCTCAAATAATGTAACCTGCAATGTAGCCTGTATGCCTCTAAGTCTTTTTGATCTGTACATCCTTTGCTTGCTGCGATCTGCCTGTACCACTTGTAAACAAAGCTTTTTACTGTATGTTGGTTCATGTGACGATAAAATCAATCAATCAATCAAAGAGACACAACATCTTTAAGCATAACAACATTGCAGTTAAAAGCCACATTCTGAACTCTGAAAACAAACCAGAAGAACCGCAGATGCTGTAAATCAGAAACAAAAACAGAAATTGCTGGAAAAGCTCAGCAGGTCCAGCAGCATCTGTGAAGAGAAATCAGAGTTAATGTTTCGGGTCCAGTGACCCTTCCTCAGAACTGAAGGTAGGTAGGAAAATGTCAGTGTAAATGCAGAAGATAGGGTGGGGGAAGAGGGTAAGGAGTAAATGAAAGGTGGAGACAGAGCCCGAGAGAGAAGACAGACAAAGCAGTGGATAATGATCTGGCCAGGAGAGTGAATAGCTATTAATGGAGACCGTTAGTGGCTAACAATAGGTAGAGTGTAATGGCAGACTATGTGATTACAAGGCCTGGTGTGTGGGGTTAGGGGCTACGACATGGGAGAGTTCAGGCTCTAAAATTATTGAACTCGATATTGAGTCTAGAGGGCTGCAGGGTCCCCAAGCAGAAAATGAAGTGTTATTCTTCTAGCTTGCACTGAGCTTCACTGGAGCACTGCAGCAAGCCTGAGATAGCTCTGAGGAATGGTCACCAGACCCAAAACGTTAACTCTGATTTTTTCTTCACAGATACTGCCAGACCTGCTGAGCTTTCCCAGCAACTTTTGTTTTTATGCCTGATACAGAGATGTTGACCAGGGAACAGGGTTGTGTGTTAAAGTGGCAGGCAATTAGAAGCTCTGGGTCATTTTTGCAGGCAGAATGTAGATGTTCTGTGAAGCGATCACACAATCATGAGGAAAGAAACGTTTGCATTATTTTTCTTTAATTTGCATACAAGGAAATGTATTATAAATTCTGTATAAGTACATCAGTGCTTCACTTCCACACTCATATTACTTTGTATTCATTGCTGTGTGCTTTTTGTCAAGAATTAATCATTTAAACCATTTATTGAGTCTGGTTTTGGCCTTTTAGCTGTGTAGCAGAGGTTTTGATATATTAATTTCAATTTACCTCAAAGTTCCAAATGAATATTTCAAAAGTCCAATCAGTTACTACACTCATATGTAACTTCACTGCAGGAAATGAAGAATGGTAGTTTCATTGGTGGTCTTTTAAATAATAAAATACTACCCGTTACAATTTTAGCTTCCAGCAGATAGTTGAGCATCCAAAGCAAACTGTCCCCAAACATAAAGCCAAGAATAACACACCTGCAAGTATCCCTTTACTCTCCTGCCCTTTACTCTGCATGAGCTCTGATTTTGTAATTCTGTTATTGAATGAAAGATAGTGTCATTTCTGCACGTTTTTCAAGTTATACTTAATAACATTTAGCAGCGTTCATTTGCACGTGCATGCTAAAATTTTTAAGTTTTGTTTTGCAAAACTTATAAGCAAGGAATTATTATGAAATTGGTTGTATTAATAAACCTGCATGTTATCATTTTACAATTTCCTATGGACTACACTGATGGCATGACTTCTATTTTTACAGAGCGAACAGGATGAGAATCAGATTCAAATGGCCAGAGAAGATGTTGAGCTGCCAGAAGAGCTGAGAAAGATGGTAAATGAAGATCAAGAGGAAGAAGATGGCAAAGATTCTTTCATTGGGCAAATTCATAGCCTCCAGAATATGGATGCAGACCAAATAAAAGAAAAGGCCCAGGCAACATTTAGTGAAATAAAGCAGGCTGCTGAACAGAAGTGCTTCATAATGTGAACCAGGAATGATTCCTCAACTTTCAGTTTTAGTAAAATCTCGAATAAACCTTGTAATCATGCACCTAACACAGAATTTGTCTCTCCACTATCCACTCTTGAAATAAACAACATTAGTGTGACCTCTGGGGCACAATTTTTCAGAGGAAAATAATCAAAAATCCGTACAAATTATTGGTATACACAAGTATGCGTATGTACATATGCATGTTGGAGACCAAAACGTATTTTTAATTGAAGAACTGTCAAAAAGTAGAAACATATTTTTAAATTATTTTTCTCCAGAGGCCACCGTTAAGATTGTGAAGAGTGAAAGTACATGTCCTATCGTATATTTTAGGTAGTGGGAATTGGATGAAATTAAGTTACTCTGTGGTGTAATGCAATTTTTTGGAATGTGTGATCAAATACATGATATATCAAATCTGATAATTAAATCTACAATGACAGCAAGATGAATATTCACCTTAATTAATATGATCAATCAAAATTGTCTGTACAAATCAAATAGAAAATATTGGTGAAATTTAAAACCTTGGCACATCTTAGAGGACCAAACAAAAAGATTAAAACTCTCATTAATTTATAAATTTATATTATACTTGATCATAGATGTGAGGGGTGCCTGGTGAGAAGTTCTCTGCAGTCATCCTTCACTTTGATAAAGACAAAACCCAGTAGAAAAAATAAACTCAGAATAAAGTTTTACAATGATCTATAGGCAAGTTACAAGTGATAAAAAATGCATTCTAAGGTTGAACATGAAAATAGATTCACATGTGTGGCAAGTTTAGAGCAAATCATATTTTCTCATTGCTGTGCTGTTATTTGTTTCTTATTGGTATAAGAGCTTAAACCTGTAACTAAGCAATCTACATCAAGTTGTTTCAGAGATAGTAGGAACTGCAGATGCTGGAGAGTCTGAGATAACAGGGTGTAGAGCTGGATGAACACAGCAGGCCA